GCCGTCTTTCAAACGAGAAACCCCAAAAGAAGCATCAGAAATTATCATGACATTTATAGTGTTTTGATTGGTTGAGTTTTATTTATTTAGTTATATTAAAATATTAGTATTAATCTAGGCAAATACTTTTTAGAAATACTCAAGTGTTGGGCATGCTCTAAGTTTCACGCACTATTTATTATTCACCAACAAGAGAATATTCTGAAATTCAGATTCGAAAATAAAGATAGAAATGATGATTGAGAAGTCATTACCGGAGTCAAAGATGGTGCCGGCTCCGGTGGCCGGATCAAAAGCGAGTGCACTTGTAGGAATATCCACAATTTTATTTCCGACACGAATCCCAACCAAGTTAACGTAGTAAAGCGATGATCTCCTTGGGTTCTTCAGCAATGGAGTGGTCTTGATCCGAATTGGTTGGTTCTTAGGTCCCAATCTTAACGATCCGGAGAAATTGTTGGACTTACTATTAGGCAGGCAATACGAGAATGTGGACATATAAAGACCTTGCGTCTGTGAGATTAAAGACAATGGACCACGACCCAAACCCATCAGTCCTTGTGCTGGTAACGATGTTCCGGTGGCTTTGTTGATGCACCCAAAGGTGTAGTTTGGGACGACGTCAGTGGCCAATGTTAGTGTGTCTTGTGTCAGAGATGCTTCGATGGTTGAGCCACCGTAAGTCATATTGAAACCACATGTGTTGCCTACGGTGCACGTTGGATTTGGAGCCTGCCAAAAGAAAACACTATCGATTAATATTTGTTTTCACTTTATTTACATAAAAGAATTGTTTTAATCATCTTGGATCTTGTTATTGATGCATTATTAAAATTGAAAATGCACTAATAACGACGTGTTATTACGTTGTTTAATTTATAATTTGTAACTGACGTGTTTTGTATAATAAACAAACACTAACCGGCGTGACGACAAAGAATATAGATCAAACAGTAAAATGTGCCTACTAGTTGGAATCGTTTATAAAGTCACGAATCTAATCCTTTATAGAAAAATATACCCGTGACTAGACTCATTGCGTAATGAATGGTATATAAAACCCGTGACTAGACTTCTCGATGATGGTCGATGATGGTGTAATAACACGCCAAAATGAAGTTCACATCTTTTGTGTAGTACAATGCAAACTAGACTCCAAAATGAATGGTCCTTCGATATTTTACGTCTCGGGTTTCTTGTTTTGTGTAAACTAAATCAGAATGAGAACCCTATCCTAAAAAGTTAAATTACATGTTTTGTTTCAAATCTGAACAGATAGACGAAAGGTCCAAAATTTGTTGGTAATCCAAAAATATAAAAACATAAAACCGAGATTTGTATGGTTCGGTTTCAAAAAACTTGTTTTTACATTCAGTTCGGTTTGATTCATCCATTATTAAATAATCGTTACCGTTCAATTAAAATAAAATTCGGTTTTGATTAGAAAAAAAAAATCAGT